AGGTACTTGATACTATGTGACATTTATAGATGGTCATACCCATTGTACTTGGGTCTATCTTGTGCATAGGAAGTCTGATGTACTCCCTGTCATCACATAATTTCTCCAGATGATTAAGACACAATTCGATGTCATTATTCGTGCTCTTCGTTTGGATAATGCCAAAGAATATGTGTCCAACGCCTTAGTGTCTCACCTTTCCTCTTAGGGTATCCTTTAGCAGCTCACTTGTCCATATACTCCTGAGCAAAATAGAGTTGCTGAAAGGAAAAACAAGAGTTTAATAGGGATGGTATGTTGTATACTTAGAGGTATGGGGATAGCAAAATCTTATTGGCATTTTATTGTTTTGACTTTTACCTTTTTGTGTAATCATACACCGAGTCTTGTTCTTCAGCATAGGGCTCCCTTACAGATCTTATTTCCTGAGCGAACACTTTTTTCGGTCCCCCCTCGTGTTTTTGACTGCACATGTTTTGTTCAAGATCGATCTCCTACTCGCCATAAGTTTGATGATAAAGTGATTTGTTGTGTCTTGTGGGCTATTGTCATTAGTCTAAGGGGTGTCGGTGTTATGATCCTATTAGGCGTCGTATGTATCACAGTCTAGATGTTACCTTTCTTGAGCACATTCCTTATTTTTCTTCCAGTCCTGTGTCTTCCCCCCTAGTTAATGATACTCCCTTTAATTTTTCGTTACCACAGGAGTCAAAGTCATTGGTCACTATCAGTACCGAGTCATCAGTCTCTCCTTCTCTAGAGCCACTCGTCCCTATCAGTACAGAGTCACCAGTCTCTTTTCCTTTGTAGGTTTATGTTCGTCGCCCTTGTTCTCATCCCCCTGCTGATGTCCCTTCTACCTCAGGTGATGCAGGTAATACTTATCAATTCATTGAGCATATTGATACACCCTTTGTTATTACTGATGAGATTGTAGGTACTGAGTCAGTTACTTTTTTTGATGAGACATTGTCAGTGAAGGATGATGATTTAGAGCGTCGTTATCCGTAACGTGATCGTCGTCCAGTTGTTCTTTATGGTTGGACTGCCAAAACTTTATATCCGATCTTTGCTTATGTGTCATATGGTGATTTTTCTCCTATATTTCGAGCTTATAGTTTGGTCTTATCAGATACGCTGATTTCTCACTCTGTTTCAAAGGCTATGAGAGAGCCCTAGTGGGTTCTTGCCATGCAGACGGAGATGGACGCTCTTCAACGTAATCATACGTGAAATCGTATCTCTTTACCTTCAGGGGTGAAGCATGTTGGCTGTCGCTGGGTTTATACCTTAAAGTTTCTTGCAGATGGTACTATTGATCGTCACAAGGCCAGGCTTGTGGCGAAGGGCTTTACTTAGATACTAGGTCGTGATTTTGGTACTACATTTGCCCCCGTGACAAAATTGACTACTATTCGATTGATTATTTCTCTGGCTGCGAAGTACTCTTGGCATTTTCATCAATTGGATGTGAAGAATGCATTTCTTTATGGTGATCTAAACGAGATTATTTATATGAATGCACCACCAGACTTTTGTGGTAAGGAGAAGTATGCTGGAAAAGTATGTCGATTGCGTAAGTCTCTTTATGGATTGAAACAGTCACCACGAGCCTGGTTCTCTCACTTTAGTGATGTAGTTGTACATTTAGGGTTCACCAGATGTCATTCTGATCATACTTGCTTCATTCGATGGAATACTTTTGGACAGTGTGCCATCCTTTTGGTATATATTGATAATATTATTATTACTGAAAATGATGTTTCTAAGACTGAACAGGTCAAGGTAGACCTTGGGAAGGCCTTTGACGTGAAGGATCTTGAATTTTTGTGATACTTTCTTGGGATTGAGGTTGTCCGTAGCAGCAGGGGTATTGTTCTTTCTTAGAGAAAGTATGTTCTGGATCTTCTCTTAGACACTAGGATGTTGGGGTGCAAACCGGCATCATCACCCATGATTCCAAACCTGAAGCTTACTGCTGAAGGTGAGGAATTAAGAAATTCGATTATCTATTAGAGGTTGGTAGGTAGACTTATCTACCTAGCCAACACTAGGTCAGACATTTCATTCACTATCAGTCGTGTTAGTCAGTTTATGCACAGACCATGTCAACCTCATCTTGATGCAGTTTATCATATTCTTTAGTACCTCAAGTCTTGTTCTAGACTTGGATTGTTCTATACATCAGGATCTCAGACGGGTTCTCTAGCCTGCTATTCAGATTTAGATTATGAGGAAGTGTGTGACGGTCGATCTACTACAGGTTTCTGTGCTTTTCGAGGACTCATCTTATCTCTTGTAAGAGCAAGAAACAGTCAGTTGTCTCCCGCTCATCAGCAGAAACAAAGTATCAGGCACTAGCACTTGGCACATGTGAGATTATCTGGTTACGATCAATTCTTAGCAAGTTGGGATTTTCAGTGACTTCTTCATCTACATTATATTGTGATAATCGATATGTTATTCAGCTTGCTTCTGACTCTGTATTACATGAGAGGATGAAGCATATAGAGATCGATGTTCACTTTCTTCGGGAGAAGGTTAGTAGTGGTATTGTCACTCTATTGTTTGTGGGAACTAGTGATCAGGTTGCAGATATTTTTACCAAACCTGTCACCCTATCCATTCTTCGGGACTCTGTTGTCAAGCTTGACTTAGTTAACATTTTTGCGTTTAGCTTGAGGAGGAGTTTTGGAGATATTGTAACTTAGTTTATTAGGATTTATTATAGTTTTCCCTTTTTACCCTTTTACCCTTATTGTATTTTTCATTGGCTATATATATGGAGGGCTCTACACTTAGTTTGTATCCTTTTTTTTTCTTCTAAATATTTCAAGTGCTTTAAAACTATGTTCAAGCTCAATTCATTTATAAAAGCAAACATACTTAAGCCAGTTTTAATACAAAGCTATCCATGAACAAGTCGGTTCTTTTACGACCATTATTTTGAATTTGTTTGCTTGTTAGAAAAATTATTATCATTATGTAGGTATTTCAGAAAGGTTCATCAATTGCTGAAGAAGTCTCCCAAGCTATTCTGACATTATCAGAGAATGGTAGATTAGAACAATTGGAAACTCAGTGGTTTTTTGCTTCTCCCAATTGTTTCAACTCTCAAACTCCTGACAAGACTGATAGCTTGAGCTGGTAAAGTTTTTGGGGTCTCTATCTCTTCTCAGCATTCGCTTCCACCATATATTACCTGTTATTTGCTACTCACCAGTCATACAAGAGAGATATTACTTTGATTTATAGCATTATATTGTACAAGTTGGTTGGGTTAGTAAAGTATTTGGACATCAGATTGAGAAAACTTAAAGGTACAACTCCAAACACTGTTCAAACATTAGGGGTTTATGAATGCAACTCTTTTAGTGGGGAGCATACAAGTTCTTCAGAGACTTTAGAGCAATCTCAAGCATCGGCATCGATTGAAGTTTAAATTACCAATTTGTGACCTGTGATCTCGAGTTTGAGTTATAGAAACAAAACTTATGGGGTGTAACTGCACACATCAGATCTTTTTAAATGTGACGAATGATGGGAGCTGAGTCTCGTGCACTAACTTATACTTTTTTTTCTTCTTATTACATTTCCTAAGATATGTCACAAGCCAGCTGCCACCCTCATTATTGTATTGCTCATTGTCTATAATATAAAAGCTATTTGCCATTGTTCTTTTCACTAATAAGTGAGCCACTTATTAGTGACCTAAAAGTTGTATATAAATATTGCCCATACATAAAACAACCAAATATATATACTTCTGTTTTTTGTCAAGCTATTGATGTTGTCCCCATAGTATCTTCATATATGATTCATCATATGTATATAAGGCAATTAAAAAACCTTGATTGCCAGTGTGAAGGATTGGGAAGCACCTCCAATACTATCTAAATGGAATTCATAAATAATCTATTTTTCTCTGCACTTAGCAAGATAAGTTTCAGGATTGTGATTCCCTCAAATATATTTTCAATCAATTTTTTTCTTAATAGATCAACTACCATAAATACGACGGGAGTCGACTGTATATAATTGGATCCCTCACCTTTCCTTTTGTCAAATCAAACCCTTTGTACAAGTTGACTCTCCAAAAAATTAAATATTTGTGTGATCTTTAATAAAGAAAAACTATCATTTGGCCTCCATATCCACTTACCCTTAATCTAACTAAAACGTTTGCTTGTTATTCTATTAAGTACCTTTAGTACCTTTGAAATCCATTAGGATTCGGCATAGAAACAAAACAATATTAGTAGGATAAGCAAATTCACAAAAGAACCAGGAATTGGTAAAAAAATCCATATCTTACCACAACGACTCTCGACTTTAGTATAGTCTGAAAGAGTTAAGTGGTAATCAACCTTAGATTCATGTTGGGGACAATAATTCTCGAACGCAAATTCACGCTATATAACTCTGATAGATAAACACGAGGAAAACAACTAATGTGATTGGTTTAGAAGAAAGAAGGTATGTATCCATGCCCTTGTCAAAAACACCCTTCAGCAGTCAAAGTAAGAATGACACATTTGGGCGTGGCGATTCGTTTATAAAAGAAAAGTAATGATATGGAAAATGACATAACAGCAATTGGGATATGCACACTTTTGTTTATGTTTTCAAGTGAATCTTGTCCTTATGTCTTTTAATCTTTCAACTTTGTTCATAATTTATGTTCTTAGAGCTGCCCAAGATGCCATAATAAAGAGTAGAGCAAACTACATTTTTATCCCCTTAATTATATCCCCTACCTTCTATTGTTTCTTACATTGCACTTCGATTAATAGTTTCACATTGTCCCAATGGCATGCGTTTGTTACGATATGTGATTTTGTTGTACTTTGTTCTAAAATCTAATACCCAGCCGACATTTTCCGTCCAAAACATAAAAGACACTTTGTTTTGGGGGTAGTGATACGCCATTTTGCTTTCACAAGCTACTCATTGTACCAATCCTTGAATCAATGGTTCAAAAATGTACGTGACTTCTTCGAATGATGCTTCACGACGTACTGGATTACCCTTTCATTCAAGTAGTTAAAGGGATAATGTTAGAATATCAATAACCAAGAGGGGAAGTGATATCAAGATCATAGCTTAAGGATGTCAAAGGTAATTTGTTGTATTGAGCACTAGATGACTAAGATACTACTAAGGCTCCCAATTTTTTAGTGATGAAAGGAGAGACAGATAAGGGACGATCTTACATGCAGCAAAAGCAGAGGTGCTTTAGTGGGGACAAAAGATCATTAGCATATGGAATCGGAGCTAATGGAATTTGATCACAAAAGTTAGCCCATTTTACAGAGAAAGACAAAGAACACTGCTGGATTTGTCAGGTTGTAAAAGCCAACCACGACTACTTGGGCTAATTACATTTTATTGTCCTCAACTATTATCCTGATCTCACTTTGCCCCCTTTTGAATTATTGAATTTCTCGCATTATCCCTTTAACTATGGTTGGTTGTTTCAATTGTCCCAAAAACAAACGTCTGTTATCTTATTGATGAAAAATATCCGCATCTCAGGGCAAGAGTGAAACAAAAACCACATAGTTCAAGAAAAAAAAGTGAAAAAACTCTTCATTAAATTGTAAAAAATATGATTAATTGGGGCCAACAAAAACTAATATTCGTAGATGAAGGGCAATGAACTAAGTAGTTGAGGGGGTAATGTGAGACGGGGAGGCCATAATTGAGGTGCCAAAGTGTAATCTACCCTTGCCCTTTCTATAATCTAAGAAGCTATCCATTCATGGAGAGTGCCTTTGCCTTCTGCTATATATTGTTTTGGTGTTACTTCACTGATCCTACAGCTTAAGCTAATTGCATCAGTTTTACTTGATCTTTTGAGCATCAAAATGTCAAGTTCAAACACCATGGCTGTTTCATTGTTGATCCTTTCCATTTTATCTGCTCATATGATCAGCTCCACGGCAGCTAGTTATCGCGGGCTCGGGATTATGGAGAAAAGGATCAATAGCAGACAGGTTCTAAGTGAATTGGTCTTGAATTTTTCAAAGATGAAGCAAAGTAATAGGAGGGAAATGAAAAGTACAGATAGAGAAACACCCGAAGGACCTGATCCACAGCATCACTAGCAGCCTTCAAAGAGTTTTCCTTGATGTCATTTTGTAGGAACACATGCTTGCAAGAAGACTTGCACCTATTGCATGGTAGTTCAACATTATGACTTAGGAAACTATGCATATATGCCCACAACTCCCCAAAAATTATAATTATCGCAACATATAATATATTAAACGTCAGACTTGAAACGATGACAAGTGTTCATCCCTCCAAGTAGTACGTCCCACTATGAAGCCTGAGAATCAACCTCTCTAAAATAAGAGTAAGACTGCTTATCACTTATGTATCTCATACCCCGCAACATAAGAGACCTATGTGTATTGGGTACGATATTTACCTTCTTTTTTTTTTTCGCTACACGATATATAGTGAATAAAGATTTGTATCAACTAAGGTCGATCAATGCAGTCATTAGCAACATATCACCTCTTTTGTATAGGAGTGAAACAAGGATCCTTGTGAACCTCCACCAGCCAGGCTTGTATAAGTAATCAAAATTATATATCCTTTATATGCCAATAACAAGTTATGAATACTCATAGTCCTCTACTTGGAGATTGAACAATGCTCATCCCATGTTCTTGGTAACAGTATAAATTCATCCTCATTGTATGTCATGTTGAGAAGGCGGGATTTGGTGCAACGGTAATGTTACTCTATGTGACTTGAAGGTTACGAGTTCTAGTCGCAGAAACAGCCTCGTTAATTGTAGTAAGGGTAAGGCTGCGTACATCTAACCCTCTTTAGACCCCACAATACCGAGAGTCTTGTGTACTTAATACACCCTTGTGTGCCATGTTGAAGACACTTCTCGAGGTAAAAGAATTTTTCAATTGAAAAAGGTTCTTTTAGATTAAATTTTTATCAAAACTGAAGATATTAATCATAATTCAAAAGACATAATTGATCTGGATTTATTTTCTTGAAGACCTAAGCATTGTATGGAAGTGCATAAACTTCTGAAGTTCAATAGTATTGTTCTACTTGCTGCTAGCTCCTCTGCTTTTCGATCCAACGCTGCTGAAACAGGGGTACTCAAAATGGTGTTTCAACTAGGGATGTCAAAATATGACACGACTCGTTAACTCGTTAACACAGTACAAACACGATACGAAATTAAAAGATTTGGATCTTCCTTAAGTCACTTGTTTGGTAAACGAGTGAATCCGACACGACAAGATTAATAAATGAATCAAGTATGATTGAAATCATTCAAAAATATATATATAACACAACTAGTTTATATACCAGTTATACATGATTTATATACGACACAAACCTGATATGTCACAACTAGTTAAACACAAATTAATAACAAATCAGTTATGAATAAAGTATTTTTTTGACACAAACCCGTCTCACCCAACACGATTAACAAGCCTAATTACAACTCTCCCATATTTGATTCTTTCTTTTTTTGTGGACAAGTTGCACTGTGACCCTTTCAACAATGACTCCGATATCACTTTTGCCTCTCAACCATGGAGTTTCTCGCACCTTAATCTTCAACTACTTGAATGGTTTCGCATTATCCAAAAAATAAAACACACACCATGTTTTCCAAGGAAAAGCAACCAAATATTTAGTAAAATACACATTCTCAGTATTCACAATTGGGCAATGCGAAGTGAACTACTATAGTAGGAAGTGTAAGATGAGAAACCTCAGATTTGAGCAGATAGGATGCACAAATAGGCATAGTTGGAGGTGCAATGTAAGAAAACGTGGTAGTGGAAGGGGCAATGTCAGACAAGAGCATTGTTTACCCACCCGCCATGACAGTTTTTGATGATGCAAAGAGCACATAAATTTGAAAAATATAAGGCATCCCACATACATATTCAAGTTTAGTACATTATATACCTAAGGAGATGAACAGGAAAGAGGCAATATGACGAATTAGACCGGTTTTAAAAAAAAAAAAAAAAAAAAAGTGCCAAAGAACTGCAGTTAGAACATTTAGAGCCGTTTGTCAACGTAAACTTGATACCTAAGCTTGCTGTTCATAACATAATGCTGTAGCCGGAAAGAGAGCTTTCTAATTTTGAAAAGCCTTAAGAGGATCACTAGGATCAATATCCATTATGAGTGGAAGATCAAATGGAAGAGTTTCCAAACTCATGTCTTTCGCCCTCAATGTCTTGATTACTTCGTCGAATACAATCCTATTACCGCCTTTACTGAGATGCAAACCATCCCTGCATTTCAAATAAGAGCAAATCATCGCAAATCATTACTATTCTCTATTTTCTTTTTCTTTTTTTACCTTTGACAGGAATAGTGTAATATGCTATTTACCTTATATAAATGCAAAAAAGAAAATCAGAGCCAAAAAGGACATGTAATGCAGTAAAATCCAACATTGGCATTGGTGTGTTCAACTGTAAAAAATAAAAAAAAAATAAAAATAGCTTTGACTAGTCTTGAGTATAGATCCTGATCTGCAATGATAAGAAATCTACTGGATACAGGTCATTACATGCAGCTAAATAAAGTGGAGATCATGGCCGAATCACTACTATTACTCTCTTACTTTTGTCCTTGGACAGGAATAGCATTATATGCTATATTCAACTAAAATAGAAATGCAACTAACAAAAAGAATATTATCATGTCACATTCAACATTTTGCGTAGGTGTGCTGAGCAAATAGGAATTAATAGGTCACTGACTAGTCTCGAGTCTATGTCATGATCCCACAATGATAAAAAGAAATGTACAACATACAGATCAATACAGCAACAGAAAAAACTGCAAACTATAAATGAGCTCACAAAGAGAAAATCCAGGGGATACCGTAAGATTGATTTTTGCCACTTAGGATAGTCCTGCATTTTGGTCCAAAGATTGACCACAGGAATTTCAAATTCTCCAGCAACTGCGACACATGCTTTAGCATAAGCACCAGCAGCTTCATTCGTCCTCTCGGGCAGACCCAATGTATTCTCAACGAAAGGATATCTGCATGGTTTTGAAGATTACACATGCACTATGAAAGTTCACCACACGATCACAGATGACCAAAAATCAAGAATTGATACATACGGCTGAAGGACAGGAGAACAGTTGCCCCAGCAATTCATTTAAAAGCTTAAGTTATTAAAGCAAGTGTAACTTGGGTATTTTCATAGTTCGACAATCCCTCTCAAATCCAGGATAGATTGGGCCAAGCATGTGCAAATCTTACAATTATCAAGATGACTTCTATAGTCAAACACATAACTTACTGCTTAATACCATGCTACACCACCAATTTATATAAAAGATTAAGCAATTAAAGTGGCTCTGACGTAAGTATTTATAATTTTATATAGTTCTACACAAACTAAAGAATATAAAGACAATATAGGAAGATAGAACAAGTTTGAACTAAATAGCTTACTGAAGGCGCTCGTCTTCATCAATTGGGGGAGGAGTGATGAGGACAACAAGAGTTTTAGGCCATCGTTTCTGAGACCCAACACACAAAAGCACAGCATTAGCAAAAACGCTAGCAGCAAAAACATCTTAGCAACGTTATAGAATAAAGTGTGGTTCCCCTGAGAAGACAAGTGCAGCAGACAACCATGTTTCAAACACAACTTTTACAACTGACAGAGACAAACCAGTCATAATCATACAGAGACAAACCAGGAAACAAAGTCAAAATTCCAGTCCAGAGGTTGATCTTCGTGGGATTACTAGTCCCGCACGGACCTTACATTGCAAACTCCTCGATTCTCTCTGCATATTGATGCCACTGTAAGAAGCCTTAAGGAATCATATGGATTCCCATGAAATAAGAAGCCTTCCAAAATGTGACTCAATCTCAATATACTTAAACTAGAGACCAGACAGATGCTGGAAAGGATCCTCTCTCTCAAGTTTCTGTAAAAATTGGTGCGCTAAAACATATACCTCACTTGTTCAGTCATCCATGAGCCTCAAACATATCAAACTAATTGTTGGTTACATCATGAACAAAGACCATTCTTCCTAAAGTGCAACTTTCAAACATGCCCCATAAATGTTCATGTTGAAATGTAACTAAAATCACTTATTCAAAGGAATTACAATTAAAAATTGTTTGGACACGTAGAGAAGAAAGTTAGAATTTGTGGGAGGGAAGAAATAATTCTCTATCTCTATCTCTTCTTTCCAACTAATTGAAAAAATGGGGAGTTCAATCCGGACTCAGGATGTCTTATCTTTCGAATTTTCATGGTACGGTTGTCAGAGGCACCTAAGTGTTACATAACAGAACACCATCCACAGAATTTAGACAAGCAACATACAGAGAAGCTTCTGCAGAAATTGTAGCAGATTAAGTAATTCCAATAATATATCTTGCCATCTTGTGGTCATAATGATATGGCCACAGCCATACAAAAAACAATCCGGATGCTGGATCATATGTTCCAATACTAAGTTTCAACATGGAAAAAAGCTGGAAGTGAAACTGAGAATCTCAGAGATTAAAATCAGTCAGTCAATAAACTCTCCTACATTCTTCTCTTTTCTCAACTGGAAAGATTTTACTATGGGATCAAGCTTACAAGCGTTCGATTGATGGTTGAGTGGATAAGCTTTATTGAGAGTATTGCCCTTTTCTTGTTACCAAAAGACAGTGTGCTATGCAGCCCCAATTTTTAAGGTATACAACTCAACATCAGCATATGACTAGTTGAAAGATCCATAGACCACGGGCTTGAAAGCCCAGTGGTGACCCATCAAGGCCATGAGCTGGCCTGCCACCTAGAGGTAGAGGTGTCAATCGTGTCGAATTAAACAGTTACGTGTCGAGTTAAACGGATGACGGGTAAAAAACGTATAAACCTATACACGACACGTTTAATAAACGGGTAAAAAATCTCAACACGAATACGACCCGTTTAATAAACGGGTAACACGACACGACTTGTTTAACCCATTTAATTTTAAAAAAATTATATCAACAAATTTTAATACTCCATTTTTTTTTACTACTAATTGCACTTACCTCAAAAAGAGGAATTTTAAATCAAATCTCATAAAAATAAGACTTGAAGGCTTTGAAAAAAAAAAAGCAAGAGGCTATTTTCTTTTATAGGCAACTCACCCTCTCTATCTCCCCTCATTTTTCAATGTGGGACAAAAATAAAAGACATTAATTTGCCTTTATTTTTGAAATGCTCTACAACTCCTCTCATTTGTCTTTGAAAAATAAGACTTGAAGACTTTAAAAATAAAAGCAAGAGATCATTGTTTTTTATAGACAACTCAACCCTCCCCATCTCCCCTCATTTTCTAATATGGGACAAAAACAAAAGACATTTATTTGCCTTTGCCTTTGAAGTGCTCTCCAACTCTTCTTTTTGTCTTTGAACTACTACTTTACTTCTTTTTTTTTATTGATTTTTTTACTTCTTTTTTCTTGCTAATTTTTTAAAATAATTATTAATTTATTATTATATTAATTTTATTTAAACGGGTAAACGTGTGATAAACGGTTTGACAGGTCTCACCCGAACACGACCTGTTTATTAAACGTGTTCGGCGTGTCAATCCGTTTATCACTCAAATCCGTTTAATTCGTGTCAATTAAGGTCAGTTAATCGTCGTGTTGAATTTTAATAGCATTGCGTAGTGATGTGTGGAAGAGCTGTTAGTTGGGAGGGTACAGTTGTGGGCTGCATTTTTTGTTTGTCGTAAACGAAAAGGCTAGCACGTTCGGGCAGAGGAAGGCCATCCGTGCCCACGATCTGGCACATTGACACTCCATTTGGTCAGTTTCTCGTAGCCTATTAGAACCAACCCCGATGGATAGAAGTCATGAAAAATTCTCCGGGTTGACCCGCCGGTCCTGATCGGATTTTAAAACACCGATGAAAATACAAACAAAATTTACATACAAATTCAATAATAATACTTGAACCTAACTTATTAAATAATAATACTTGAACCCGATGGATAAAAATTTTATAAGCAGTTAATAATACATAAATATATGAACAAAAAATTAGTACAATAAGTCTTATTTTTCCCTCAAAATAACAATCAAGTCATATCATATTTACCTTAGAATAATTAAGTCATACTTTTAATAATTTATTCCAAAAAAGTCTTATACTCCATTAATAGTATGTTTTCTTCCAATTTTATCCTTTCCATCAACACATCAATTATATTTGTACCAATAATATTTGTTATTAGGACCAACGAAAATTATTTTTTTTCTAATTAGTGCATAACACCCAAAAGACGTAATTAACAACAAAACTTTTAGAAATGATAAATCGTACGACTCTATTTTTTTCTTATATTTAACATTTTTAAACATATAAATTTTGATTCTCTTGACTATCAAATCTCAACTATAAAGATATATAATTATATAAATTAACAATGTAAAAACTAATCTTTGAATATATTCATTGTGAAAAATTTATCTAATATTATATTTTTTTTAACTTCTCCTTCCACGTTTTGAATTAATTAGAAAAGAATTATTTTTTTAAAGCATAAAAAAAATAAAAATAAAGCATTCAAAGTTACAACTTTGTATTTAAGAAATAAAATAAAATATTTTTTATTTATGTAATGACTTTTATACTATGTAAAATTCACTCACATATAAACTCTTATATTTTAATAGGATGGATGTTTTGATAATTAAATGTATGCTTATTGGATTTTAATTTAAGATTTAAGATAAAAAAAACTATTTTAATAAATATAATTAAATAACATTATAAACGAAAATGTTGTATGTGTTTTTTTATAAAATTGGAATAAAATAAATCATTAATGGAGTTTAGGATTTCTTAGAAATAAATTATAAAAAAATAAAATTTAATTATTTAGGATTATTGGTGTTTTTCTATTAAAAATTAAATTTTCACGTGTATGTGTGTGATTGACACAGTGACACATGCAGAGGAGGGCTGACCTTGAGAAAGGAGACAATGGAGCGGAGGTTCTGCTGATACTCATCAAGAGGCACGTGTTGGAAGGCAGAGCATCTATCTGGAAGGCACGCGTCGTTTGCACCGAAAAACACCGTCACAGCCAGCGGCGCACGGCCACTCCCGCAGTCTGTCTCCGGCGGAAACACCTTCTCCAACACCATCAGAGCCCACCTCGTGTTATACCCACTGTACCCTCTCAACACCACATCAACCTGAATCAATAATAATACATCATCAAAAACCCAAAAGAAAAAATACCAAGTCAATCACAAGCAACATCAATGGCATGTAAAGATATCAAAGAAACTGTGTGTGTGTGTGTGTGTGTGTGAGAGAGAGAGAGAGAGATATACAGCGCGAGAGAAGTGGTGAGCGAGGGTAGCACCCCAGCCACCATTGCTGAAGGACTCTTCAGTGATGGAGTCTCCGAAAAGATAGATATTTGGTCTCATTTTGCCTTGAGAAATCGCTCTCACTTTGAAGGGCTTGAACTTATAGATCTTTCTTCTATTCAAAATCTACTTTACAAAAGTTAGAGGTGAAACTTATTTGAAGATGGTGATAAGGAGAATGTATTATATCCGGACCCTTAAAGTTGTCACTTAATTATTTGACTCTCTTGATAGTTAAAATATTATATACAAATCTTTCAAAATTTATACACGCATAACACTTAAATGCATGAAATTAATGTCTATTATAATATTCGTTAGTAAATTATACACAAATTTTCCTAAAATTTATATGCGTGTAATATTTAGACAATAAGTTTAAAATGAAATACTTAAACAAAAAATATTCCAATCAAATATAAAATATAAAATATTTTAGCTTTTACAACTAAAATTTATATTCTATTATGTCATTTATTGATACAAAATCAAAAATAAAAATCTAAATTTTTTTTAAAAAAAATTATAATTAGTATACAATTGTATTATTAATTAAAATAAAACTAAAAAATAAATAACAGGTCAAACTGTAATAAACACAAGTCTTATATCTTTAATTGAAATAGTTTTGTCGTTTAATGGATATATTTAGATACTTCAAATTTAAAATATTATATTTAAACAAAAAATATTTCAATCAAAGATAGAGTATCAAATATTTTAAATTTTACAATCAAAATTCATATTATATTATGTCATTTATTGATATAAAATCAAAAATAAAAATCTAATTTTTTCTTACAAAATCATAATTAATATACAATTATGTTATCTATTAAAATAAAACTAAAAAAATAAAAAAGTAGTCAAACTGTAATAGACACAATATCTTTTATACTTAACTATGATAGTTTGATTATTTAATAGATAGTATAATTATATACTAATTATAATTTTTTTTTTAAAATTAAAATTTTATTTTTGATTTTATTTTAATAAATGATATAATAAAACATGAATTTTAATTATATAATTTAAAATATTAACTTTGATAAATTTACCCTTGAAAGGGATAACACTATGAGCCTTAATCTCAATTAAAGTCATTTATAACTATTGATTATTAAAATAATTAAATAAAAAAAATTAATGGAAGCTTATCCAAACCGGCTATTTACCCCATATACAAGTAAAATGCTGCTGGACACTTCTGGCAGCTGCACTAATTGCCACCCGGCCAAAAGCTGAACATGAACAGACATATGAATAGTGTACCTGTGTATGTGAGAGAGAGAGAGAGAAGAGCATGGCTGTCGTGTGGTCATTGGTGCATCTACAGAGGCCAACGAGGTTGCTTGTCGGCTTTTTGCATGTCATTTCCAAATCGCAGCAATAACTCATTCTTGTTCTGTGACTTCCAACACTGCACTTACTCCACTCCGAAACAAGACAATATATATGTATTATATATATATATATCGACGATAACTCGTATTTAAAAGGATGATATAAGAAAAAAATTTATTCAGGCCTTTTTTAGTTAAGTTTAAATTTAATGATACCTCTTTCTGATTTTGAAATTTCACTCTCACTCTATGTTAGTGATTGTCGGATTACACCATTAATGATAATGGTTGATTTATAAAAATATTTTCAAATATTTTATAAAAAAAATTTTATCCACACCTTTTATAAATAAACCTAACTTTAAAAACACCCCTTATAAATAGACCTAACTTTAACAACAAATTCTTTTGATTCTGAAATTTTAATGTACTCATTTTCAGTTTTACTATATTAGCCTTTATTTTAATCAATTTAATATTCAATTTTTTCAAATTTATTTTCTTTATTTAATTTAAACTAAATTAACATTTCATCTCATCAAATCAACACAAAATTGATATTTAATTTTATCAAATTAGCATTTAGTTATATTAATTTAATATTTCATTTCATCAAATTAATATTATTTTTTTAATTTAATATTAAGTTATTATTTATTTTTATTAAATTGACATTCAATTTTATTAAATTAAATTATTTAATTTATTAAATAGAATATTAAATTTCATTAATTTAAAATTTAACTTTATCAAATTAATGTCATTTCTTTAATTTAACAACAAATGAACATTTAATTTTATTAAAAAAACATTCAAATTTATTCAATTAACATTAAATTCAATCAAATTAATATTTAATTTTATCAAATTAAAACTAAATTAATATTTAAATTTATCAAAATTAAGATCAAATTTATTCAATTAATATTAAATTTTATCAAATAATTTTAAATTTTATATATGAAGTATGATGTGTGAGGAGCGGTCGAACGACATTGTGGAAGACATATGATAGCAAAGGAAATAGAAATAGATGAGATTTTGACATTGACTTTATCGATTGTAATTTTTATTATAGAAAAATTATTTTTAACTATAAAAATTATTATGATGAAAAAATATAAAAATTATAAAAACATGATTATGTAACCAAATGAGTGATAATATGATGACTAATATTATAACAAAATTATAATACAATATTTTAAAATAAAAAATTTATTGGAATAGTATAATAATTAAAATTATGTTTGTTGGCCGGCTAGCGCATATATAATGGGAAAAGAATTAATGACATTTTAATTTATTTACATAATAAAAGGTAATTTTAGTATTTTCACAAAAATATTTAGTTAAATTATTATTTTATCTACTGATAGAGACAAAATTTATTGTTACAGAAGTTGTTATTGAATTTAGACTCAACTGTGTGGTGTTTAGATAAAACTTTTCCTAGATATAACATGTAGATATAGTATGTTTTCTATCTTTGTACTATATATATGTACAGTAAAGATGTATATGTGATATGAACAGTAAAGATGAATAGCAGCTGCATTAGGATAGAGTTTTGGGGAGACATGTGTATCAGTTTGGAAAGAGAATCATGAAAGATGAAAGTGTGAGACACAATCAATGTCTCAATATATAAAGTGATCTCTTAACTTAGGAAATAAAATCAGAGAAATAATGATAAGAGTTGTAATCTGTATTTTAGGGAGAGAGAGAGAGAGTTGAAGAATGAGAGATCGTTTAATTGCCAGATTTGATTGGGTTGGGAAATTAATTTAGGGATGTTAGTTTTGGAAACTAAAAATTTTAAGCGGCAAAAAATTTCAAGAGCTAATATGGTACGTCAGATTGAAATGATCTGAGACGTCAATAGCTTGAGACAGTTTAAAATATCTTCGACCGTTGGATGATGCCTTTTTTTATCTGGAAATGATCTAAGTCACTCTTTATCTCTTGAATTCAAAATCGTTTATTATATAGATATATTATTGACATTTATCACATTTATAAGTATTTTTATTATAATTATGGGTGTTTTAATTATTGTTGTAATATTAAAAAAGTGATAAATATAATTATCATACCAACGATAAAAACAATCACAATAATGATAAAATCACCAATAATAGCAGTAAAATTATTAACAAAAATGATAATTTTTTTTACCGAAGAAAAATGATAAAAATAATTAATATTGGTGAAAACACCCACAAATATGATAAATTATTCACAAAAGTGATAAATTTTTTTTTGTTATAAAAATACCCACAAAAATTAGAAAAATACTCCTAAAATTAGTAAATTTTAGAGACACAATATCGAATAAAAAAATTTGGTACCTAGTCAAGTCCAACAAATAAAGACAAAGACTATTGTACCATTTTTTATACCAACAATTATATTTTTTTTAAGATTAAATTATAATTTTTTGACATATAAATTATAAATGTAAAAGATATAATCAATTTTAAAATATTACGATCGATTATAGAAATTATAATTTTTAAAAGTAATTTTATAATTTATTGAGATTATTAATGTTCTATCACAAAATTTTATGCTCAATCTGTCACGCTCCATCCCGGTCTACGAAAGATGAGACGCGACTAGATTTTTGATACACCTGCTTACAATTATTATATACTAGACTAATAAAACATTAAATAATTCCACAGGTGCAAACACACCACCCGTCACCTTAGTCATTAAACATGATGGTAAAACCTGTTTCATAACCTGTACCATATATAACACCTATACTAATTATTTGTTTCTCAGGTTATAGACATATACAAAATCTCACACCCACATAGCATACATCACAACGTGCTTGTTGAGTATATGTACAAATATATACTATTAATATACCAGAATAATCTGTCATAAATATAATACACAACCTAGTAATTAGTTATACTGACACTCAACCCGAGTGATATCACACTAACATTGTACAAGACTAAATAAGTTGGACAGTAGACTGGTCTGCAATCTCCTCTATAGTAGCTGAAAGCAAAAGTTGTAAGGGTGTAAGTTAAATCACGCGCTTAGTGAGTATACATGCAGTATATGGAATGAAAATGATAGTAATACACTAAAGTAGATAGATACTACGTAGATACGTGTATCAAACAACAACATCAATCACATTCCAAAGAATTCACAAGTCATATCACATCAACACTACACCTCATTGGATAATCGATCCCACATGGATCCGTGTCTCCCAAACCTCCCAGAAACATCACAGTGCTAGCACATCACTGCACGCCCAGTGACCAGGCATCGACACCCCTGTCTCAAACAGTGCGCCACATTCCACAAAACACAATACACAGTACAAAGCATCATCTAATTACATAAGCACGTAGCACATAATCTTAAAGAATTACTATCATCTGATAATAACATTTTCAAAACATATAAAAATATACACCCACCTCAGATGTACAAATCTACAGCCCTCCGATCCTATCAGTGGATCCTTTCGGTGTCACCGTACCTGTTTGAATACCAATTGTCTCACTCGTTCCACCTAACACATTGGTAATTACAATATCAATATGGTTATCAAATTTAATAATTAATCATGCACTAATGCATGCAAATGATGCACTCCAAAGTGCCTCGATAACTCCGGTTATCGTCCTATCCACTCACACACTAGCATGTTTGTTCTAGGGATCACATTTCCTCCCCAAA